ATTGAAATGTTAAACTATTTTATAGATAATATGCCCAGTAAATATGCACTAGAATGTTTGGTATTGTTTTGAGTGGTCTTTATAATTTCTTGTGTTTCTTTTATATTGTACAGTCTGTAGAAGGTAATTTGTTTTATAAGAAGTCAGTTTTCCAAGGCTAATCCAGTGAAAGTTACTTTTATGTGCTTGTTTGCATTTCAACATAGCTAATTGCAAACTATAATTTTTAAATGAGTTGACCTCCTGACCATATCGGGGGGTTGGAACTGGATGATCTTTAAGGTCCCTTCCAACTCAAACCATTCTATGATAAACACAAATAACTGAAAAATCATTCTAGAATGCTTCATTTTAATTCCTTTGGTTTAGTTTTCTTTGCCATTGGAAACCAATCTCATTCGGTTGAACAAGCTGTTAGCCCTGATGCTTTGATACAGAGATTGACAGATATCTGGTCACAAAAGTAGATTGGATGCAATAAAACCAAGTTTAATAGGGCAAGATCTTAGCGTGGAAGTATTTCTGCTGTTATGATTAGACAGAAAGTGTTTAGTTTCTAACAAAGCAGCATTTTATAAGGAGAAATCAGGAAATTTATCAGTGTTTCCACTCTATGCTTGATGTTTTGGATCCTGTTGCCATTTCCAAAATGTATCATCAGCCAATGCTGGTTCAAGACTTACCAAGCAGATGTCTGTTTTTGAAGGGAGGATTCTGATTTGGGATGCAGTATGGATGATAAAAACTTTAGATTTATCTAAAGAGATAATTAATGTTTAGAAGCAAGTTGCTAAAGTTTTACATGCTTAGACTTGTGTGTCCTTAAAGGAGATGCTTTTCTGTGGAAGTGGATGTGCATCCTTGTCAGGTCACTGAGCAGTGGAAAGCCTGGGTGCATGAAAATTCTGTGTGAGGAGCAACAGAGTGTTGTGGAACAGGTGAACCACTGTGGGCACTCACAGCCTGCAACTAAAATGGTGTCTTCATTCACCCCCCCAAAGCAGTTGTCCCCAGGGCAGCAGGGAGCTGAGGAAGCCCCTTTTCAGTTCTGCAGCACTGGAAGGCAGGCCAGCTAAGGACATTGTGTTTGTAGGTTGCAGTATACTGCAGGGTGCCAAGTTGCTCCTACATGTGTCTGCTTCCTTTCTACGTGAGCCAAAGTAGATCATGTTCACCAGTTCCACTGGTCTTGAGAACAGGCAGTTGCTCATCAGCACGTAGTTTATTCCAAATGTGAATGTGAAATATTTTTGACAAGTGCTGTGTTATGGCTCTGTTGGGCTAGGGCTGCTCCGGAACTCTGGAAGTCAGATGGGTTGTGTTTGCTGTCTGAACTTACACCCGTATTTGACATTTTTCATTGATAGTTTTTTTTCCTTATTCATGTCCTAATCCTCATGCCAGGAGGGCTTAGTGGCAGAGACACTTGAAAATACAAACGTCTGAGATACTATCAACCAGAAGCTTCCTGCCTTGCCAAACCTGCCAGTGCAACAAGATGGAAGTAAACTCTGTGGTCATTGACTATCTGCTAAAAATACCTGGCTGTGGCTCTCCAGGTTCACAAATCTTAGCAGTGCTGGCTTAAATCTCTGCTTGTTTGAGTCATTGTAAAATAACAAAAAATAAAATGTTTTGCTAGCTATTTTTTTCCATTGCAGTTAAAAACCCATCATTTTCTTTAAAGTATTAGTATGGTTGAAGAGATACTGATCAAGTTAAACTGAAGTGTTTGTTGAACTTGCAGCTGGAAGGTGGAATACAGAAAGACAATTAATGCCATTAACCATTAGTGCTGTTTTTACTTCCATCACTGATTCTCTTACTTCTAGGGAAGCTTCATAGTTTTTCTTGAATATCAACTTTACAGTAAAATGTTTGAGGTTTTTTTAAAGAAAAAAATCAGTAGGTTGAGTTTTTCTAAGTTGCAAAGCTTCAAATATCTTTATATTTTAAAACTACTTGGAATTATTTCTATGTGGCAAGAAAACAGGGCATGTTATAACAGAACACTTTGTGCTGCTACTTAGTCAGATGGAAATCAATGTCTTGTACAGCTCTTTGGAGATCCAGCCATTCCCATGGGTGAAGGCTTTTTCCCTAATACGTTCCCTTGCTGTCATCAAAGGGTGGAGTGAAGAAAATTTGGAAATACTTTATTTCTGAATATCACTGGCATCACTGCAACCTACACAGATATGATGAATCTTCTCAGTCTGTAATTGGAATTGGCAGCACTTAGTGAAATCATCATAAAAATCGTAACATGAATTTATTTTTTATAAAGGCTGTTAGTTACCTAGCTCCAGCTCATGAGCAGTCCTACTTGTAAGAGGTCCAGGTTGCCAGAGGTGTTTCTGTGGCTTTTAAGGTTGCTTTTACAGATAAAAAAACCTCTCACTCCTCTCCCCTCTCTTTCTTGTGATGTTCTCCTTAATTGGTTTCACAGGGATGTGTACAAATGCTGTCTTGGGGCCTAAATTTCAAAACAGCTTCAGGAAAGTAACAAATTTCTCTAAGCAATTATATATATATTTATATCCTTCAAAAAAATCAAATTACTATTTATAGGTAAATGACTTAGTGTTGTTGAACATTTATTTCCCCCTTTTCCAGCAATGTTCTAACATATTTATGTCCTTTTGGCAGCCAGGAAAAAAAGATGTAGCCCTATTTATTAGTGTCTAAAGCAAATTCTGTGGCAGCCTGGCACATTTTGTATCCAAGGGGGAGTTAGTTTGGGAACTGCCAGATTCTAAATTCTTCAGGGATCGCTTTGATTCTTCTGCTGCTTCTGACAGCAGTTCCCTCTCCTCAAAGTCTCACCTCTTCTGTTTAAGAAGCTGGCTGAGGACAGCTAGCTGTACCATTTGTTTTCTGTCCTGTCAACCTGGGAGTGACATTCCTGAAAGATGAACTTCCCATAAGCTACCTGAGGTGATGATCCCTCCAGGATCAGGTGTTGCAATGTGACATTACCTTGTGGTGTTGAGTTACAGGCATTTATGCACCCCAGTACTTATTTGCCTGCTCCTTGTCGTTTCAAAGTAGCTTTTCTTTAGTTACTTTAGTTTAGTCACGACTGCATTGAGATTAGTGGCCTTGGCAGGAAGCTTCCCAGATGTTTTGGATCAGTTATAATGAATGCTTGAAAATATCCAACTGAATCCCTCTTACAAATAAACCTTTCATCTTAGATTAGTAGTATTCTGAGGAGTTTGTTCTGTGAGCTCCCAGTCCTGTAAATAACTGAAGTCATCTCTGGCTTTTGGCCATTTGATTTAATGTCCTTGGTACCAGGAAAATATTCGATAACAGAGGAGGCAAAAGGAAAAGAACATAAGCAGTGAAGTACCTGCCCTCCTCCTCCTGCTCCTTAATCCCTGCTGCACATCCACTACTGCAAGTAACTTGTTTTCTGTGACAGGAGTGTCACACAGTGCTGGTGCCTGCCCCCCAGCAGAGTGCTCTCAGCAGCTGGCATACGTGTCAGAGGAGCCCAAGAAGCTTTGTTGTGTTTCCAAGACTTGTTGAGAGTTACTGTTTCAGTGAAAGAGAAACTTTGAAATTGCCATTATGTGGAGGACTCCGAGGGGGGCATTTGAACAGGACATTTGGTCATGGTGCTTATAATATTGTCATTTTCTTCTTAAAAGCGAGAAAGAGTCAGGCATAGGAAGGAATTTGCACAGAAGAAACTCCATTTTACATACCTTTGACTGCTGTTCTCTGCTGTGCCTGGCCATTTTCCTCTTTAGCTGAGAAAACATTCCATAGCATCAAGGCTCTTCTGAGTTCTCACAACAGAGCATCTGTGGATCTGCTGGATTCATCTGTTGTGGCTGAAACTGAATGAACTTACTGGAGAAAGATGAAAGAGTATGTGAACAAAGCAAAGCATATAGATATTTTTATATCTACTGTGAAGTATTTAAGAATGATGAGGTTGGAAACACAACATGAAGGTTTGCAAACGTGCCAAAGTGTTTTATCTTTCTTCTAAACTGTTTATTTCTGGAAGTTTGATAGCAGACATGCCCTTCTAGAGGGGAAAATCCGTTCTCTTCCAAAGGACACGCACAGTGGAACGTTACTAAGATGTTTATTTTGTGGCCATATCACCATCTTGATTAATGGAAATTTATATTGTGTGTTATGAGGGTTGCTCCTGCCATTGTAGTCCTTAAGGTGTTATTGAGGTTTCCTTGAAAAGGAGCGTGAGAGGAGGCAAGGCATGGACACTTAGTGCTGTGTGGACATGGCTCTGTTGCCACTTACCCTCTCAGAAGGTTGGCTGCAGTGCCCAGGGTGTGGGGGAGATGCTGCTCTGCAGGCTCTGCTCTGCCCTGGAATGCCAGCTCTCCTCTGGGCCTGCCCCATGCCCACTGGTGGGCTCTCCCGACTCCACAAACTTGTTTTCCTGTTTTGTTTTACCACATGAACGTCAGGGGCAAAAGTCACTGGGGAGCTGGAATTTGGGTGTTGTACTGGAAGGTCTTAGAGCAGGGTGAGCCTGCATCTTAAAATAGCTGGTGACATTTCCTGGTTGTTTTCCCTCTCCATTCCCCTCTCCTCCACCCTGCAAACCCTTGCTCTCAGTTGTGTATTTTGCAAGTGTTAGAAGGGGAAGGGTGCGTGGATGGGGTGGGTGCCCAAGGTGGGGCCCCAGTGGATGCAGGGAGATGGAGCTGTAGCTTTTGGAAGTGCTCATGTCCCACCAAGGTGCAGCTCTTGTCCCTGCTCAGCATTGACAACGGTGGGAGCCTG